CTTTACCACTATGGAGGACGGCTTTGGCAAGGGATACGGGAAGGCTGACTATTGCAGTTTGGGTTTCAGCAAAGCTGCGGCGCATACTCCGCACTTTCACCCTCTCCGCCTCGAAGTTAAACTGGCCCGCGAGGGCGGCGCAGACCTCCTGCTTCGTCGCGATCGGGTCGATATTGCGCACCTCCAAGACGAGGACTTTTGAGTCCTCTGTCGTTGCGCGCACCGACGCTGAATCTCCGAGCACCTTCTCGATGCTCTCCCTCATTGTCGTGGCGCTCTCGGCGCTACCTTTCGCCACCTCCAGGAGCAGGTTGCCGTTGTTGGTTCGGCAAACCTTTGCCACACAGCATCCCAGGTCCGACAGCTGCTTGTCATCTCTCCTCGCCACCATTGCGAGCACCTCGCTGTAGGACTTGCCGCTCGCTTGGACAATGACAGCGTCTGGGCGAGTGCGGCGCGCTGTTCTCGGCTTCCTCGCCACGACCTCCCAGTCGTTTTCGGGGTTTGCCTGGCTCACAGGCTTCCGGGCTGGCCTATGCTGCTCCGATGCATCATGCACAGCCGCTGGCGGCTTCGCACGGGGCTTCTTGGGCGCCTTTGCGCTTTTCTGCTGCGCTAGACGAGGGAGTGGCGAGGCCAGCACCGGTGCGGGTAATCCCGGCGCATCTGACTGGCTTAGCCTTCTCCAAGGCTCTGTTTAGACCGAAACCTCCTTTTTCCAGGCGGTCACCGTTTGCTGCTCCTTGTCCGCGCTTTTGGTGATCTGGGCGCATTTCCGGCACAGGTTGTTTGCGACCCGGCTCACCTGCCGCGGCCGCTCTGCTTGCCACGAGGATGCTCGAGTGCAGGGCTTTCACTCTGGCAATCATTTCCCTCAGCGGCACGGTAATATGCCGCGTCGACTTGTCCATCATTCTAGATGAGAACTCCTGCAATAGATTGCCCATCTCCTGCAGATCCTGCAGGCAGGCTGCCTTCTCTGACGCCTTGCTCTTCTTGGCCGGCGTAGTTCTCGGTGAACTGGTCGGGTTAGCCGGGTCCCTCAACCTCTTAGGGGGCGGCGTAGAGCCTGTGCTCTGCCCACCTTCTTGAGCCTCGTACATCGGTGGCGTACGGGAGAGCTCATTGCTCCTCCCGAACGCCGCCGCCTCCTCCTCATCCCTCGGTGCACATGGCGAACTCGCTAGTGCAGACCTGGGGTTTTCCTCCTCCATATCCGGCTAGTCGGTTCGCGCAGGGCTCCCACGCTGGCCAAGAATTTCCTCCTGGCTCTACGACGGGGGATATACCGCCCCAACTCGGTCCCCGAAGCCCGTTGCTCGGGACACCGCCTAGGCGGGGAATCGGGAATTGGTCAGATCCGAGACCTTGCACAGTTCCGGGTTGATAATTAATGAGTTAATTAATTATATACCGATTTAAATTTGAAATATAATTTTTAAATTTAAAACGGCACAGGGCGGGAAGGCTTAGCCGCAAGCACTTTCCAACACTAAAGTGTGCTGTTAAGCGCGGCTGTACAAGCTCCCGCGATAGCGTTACACAACACTGGATCAGCTGCGATCAGCTGTGTTTGTGAGCCAAAAAGAAAACGCGGGGAAAGGCTTGTGGAAAGTGGAAAGCAGCGAGAGCGCAAAAGCAAGAGTGGAAGGCGTCTCCTGGGAAGAGAGGCTGGAGTTCCCCCTCCCCCATGCCCACCGGTTCCTGAGGCGGCTTGGATTGCCGAAAACTTTTGGGCGTCCGGAGCCTAGTGGAGCCGAAACTAGGAACGCACCTTTTTCAAGATGCCTGACACACTTAACCGTCTTACAAGGATAAACTAGCGGAGCGCGGTAGAAACACAACTTGTACGTATATCACTCTCACCAGAACCACCTCTCCGCGTGTGTGTGTGTGTGCTAGTGATGCGAGAACGGGGAACAAAAGATAACTACAGATTATCGGTTAAGCTTAAATTTATACAATTATTAATTAGATATAATACAAATCGTAAACTAGAAATATACAAAGTTTATTTTAAAAATTTAGAAATGATTCGTGGGCGTTTTGTTTTGCTCCGACGCCGGTTTGTTTTTATATTGTTTTCGCTGCTAGCTGCTGTTGCGGCTCTCCATGAGCGTTGGCGGCTGTTGTTGTTGCCTTTGTTGTGGCTCTCCATGAGCGTTGGCGGCTGTTGGTATTGCCGCTGGCTGCGGTTGTTGTTGCTGCTGTTGGCTCTGACCGCTGTTGTTGTTGGCTGCGGGAGCTGTTGTTGTCGACGGCTGGCGCTGGCTGCCGTTGTTGTTGGCTGCTGGCGCGAGCTGTTTGCCGGTGTTGTTGGTCGGCGTCGCTGTTGTTGTTGCTGATGACGCGGCTGCTGGCGTTGTTGCCGTTGTTGTTGGCTGCCAGTATTTGTGGGGAGTCAAACGACTCTTCACACTTGGATTGTAGCCAGGTTGATGAACAACCTCGGCTCCAAATGACTACATTTGAAAGCATTCGTTATATTTTTGTGAAAGCTTCAGGAAATTGTTTGATTGGGCTGAATTTCCATATAGTAGCGAATACAACGGCTCTGTTGGATGAGCCAAAACGGGAAATTTAATTTTGCCACCTGCACAGCATAAGCCGGGGGTTTCCAATCGAAACTTCAGTGCATTACAATGCACAGTGGTTGCGCACATAGGCCAAAAATAAAAAAAATTATTACAACAAAAATGTACGAAAAGTAACAAAATTGTCTCTTAAATATCCAAACTTCTTTGTAGCATACCAGATTTTATTGGAAATCTAACAGGACTTTCTAAAAATTGAATTGAAGATTTGAACACGTGTTCATTTGCAAAGCGTAGCTACGCGCATCGCGAATGTTTCACAACCAAACCTAACTTTAAAGTGGTCCGATCGTTTATTACGTGTCCAAATTAATATTTTTTGTAATGGATTTTGAAGTTCAAGGTATTTTCTATAAAATGAGATATAATTTTATATATTAATAATAATTATTGTTTTCATTATATTAATGTGAAATAATCATGTTTTTTGCCTATATTTTGCATGTATTTTTTATGTTTATCTAAAGTTATAGTTGTGACCCCACAAAAATCTACAGTTCATATGTATGCCAATGTCTTTGACGGGCTTTTAAGGAGACAAATGTGAAAAAAAATTTTGCCGAAATTTGCCTATGTGCCTATAATCTTAAAAATACTATCACAGGTGAGGGTAAGGATTTTAATATTTTTTTTCGTATCTTTTTTTTTTTTTGTTAAATAAAGGTTTAATATCTTAAAAATATTGTGTGAAAGTTTTACATCGATTATTAGAAAATTGACGAAGTTATGGGTAGTTGAACGGAGGTCGTTTGGTGTTCGATGTATGAGTATCACAAAGTTTAAAGCGCTCTCCTGAAAAAGGCCATTTTGAAAATCGGTCTACTTGATAACTCAAAAACTACTTAAACAATCGGTTTGAAATTTCGAACATAACTTTTTAATTTAATTGTTCAGGTACTCATGTAGAGCTTTTTTAATTTTAAATTTTATTATATTTTTTTTTTTTTAACAAATTAACTTAATTTTTTAATAAACAATCCGGCTTTGGACTTCCAATTTCGATACAAAGTCGGGAAATATTTTTGAAAATAAAAGCATCACCTGAGTACCAAGGGGCACTTATTTTTTAACGAATGCAATAAATTTTTTTGATATCGGATGTTTTTTTGGACAGTTAGGATGTACACCGAAAATCAACTTTTCTTTTTGTGGGGACTCAGGAATTAAAAAAAAAAATTGAACAAATGTTTTGTTAATTTATGGTATTTAATTCATTAAGCTAACTTTAGCCGTTTCGCCAAAATATTTTTTTGAAAAGTGTGCAGTTTTGCACCAAATTAACCATACCCCCCCTTAAGCTGTGTGCATTTGTTGCTAGACAAATAAAATACACAATATATAAGTTAATAATTTATTGTTACTTTTGGGCACTTATATTTCACCAACATTCTCTTAAGAGATCAAAAAATAATTTTAGGTCTTGAAAAAAAAAATTTTTTTTGATATTTTGTATGGGAGCTATATGATGTAGATCCGATTTTAACCAAATTTTGTAAGAATGTATAAACCTGTACCGAACATATAATCTGTGAAATTGGTTAAGATATTTTGAAAAACAAAAAAGTTTTTCATACTAAATGTTGATTTTTAACAGATTGTTCCTATGACAGCTATATGTTATAGACGTGCTATATGGCCAATTTTTTGTGGATATACTTAAAACATTTTTATAGATTTTTGGTGCAAATTTTAACTAGAAGTATTTTTGGCCGCGGCTCCATACAAGCCCAACCACTGTGCAATGCTGACATACGACAGACAATGAACCAATAACAACGCAGCTATGATCTTTGTCGGGTGTTTCAGAATTGTATGCGAATGCAGCGCGATTCAAGTTTTTATTCGGGGTTCGTCTTCCTCTATTATTTTGTCGGGTGGTCTTGAGGTGCCATTTGGGCACGTATTGATGCATTTATTTCTGTACGTTCCTCTTGCGTCCGACTATTACGGAAATTCTGATTACTTATTGCATTACGTGAACGCCGTCCAAGACTTGATCGTCAAACAGCAGGCATTACTTCCAATTGTTTAAGCTCACTTTGGTAATGCTTCGTTAACTCGATTTTTTTTTTGTTTAAATATTTTTTTTTACCGATTTCAACGAAACACAATATCAACGCAGCTATGATCTTTGTTGGGTGTTTCAGAATTTGACATACAACAGTGTGTACAGACCAGCGACTTTTCCAAAAGGTATTCCCAAAATTTCTCTTGTAATATCTTTCTTCTGGCAATTACAAACAACTGAAAAAAATGAGCCAAATCGGCCCAGCCGTTCTCTTGTAATGCCATTGTGAACATTTTTTGTCTATATTTTTATGTATATAGATTATTAAATTTATAAATATCGGCAGATCTCGGCAGGCTTTCGTTTCCGAAAACTGATGGGCTGACAGATGTCAATGGGCCCGGCGGGCGAACTCAGCCAGTCTCACTCGCTCGATTAGTCAGTACACTTCGGCTCGTCTTTTTCCTTTTTCGCTCTCGATTTTCATTTCAAATAAAGGTCAAATTCAAATTGAAAATTTGCTATTGCTATAAATTAATATCTATATTTCGAAGCAGTTTTTCATGAGTGATTAAAGTTCAGCCACACCAACATGAAGCGCATTACAGCTCGCCGAAACCATGGCAGTCGATCGGTAAGACACTGAGGGGGTTTCTAGTGGGTAGTTTCAAGGTCTTAAGCCATGTATCTTGGTAATAAAAGGGAATATGTAGGTAATACAAAAGATAAAAAAATAAATAATAAATAATAATAATATTAATAATAAAATAAAATTTAGTCGCTCATATTTTGGGCTTTCTTTAAAAATAAATAATACAACAAAATAAATCAAATAATAAATAAGCATTGTTTTAGTTTCTAATACCAAAAACAAAAATTAAATCCAAAAAAATTGTTTTATTATTTATTGATTTAGTTTATATCGAACTTTAAATTAAAAGCCTACTTTGATATAGAAAAACCTTTTTTCCCCAGCACCACCTCCACCTCTACCGATCTTCCTATCAGCCCGCCAGCAACAAGCCAAAGGTCCCCCAAATTGCCACCGCTCAGCAGCAGCAGCAACAGCAGTCATTCCTGGCTCAGACCGGCTTCGGAGGTCCAGCCGACAGCCTGCCAGCTGGAGCTGGTACCGGTGCCAGAGTTGGCGTTGGCCTGATGACCATTCCCAGCTATGCGGACCAGATGCATTCCGCCTTCTTGGATTACCAGCACCAGAGGGTGGAGTTTGAGCAGCAGCAGAACCAGCTGCTGCAGAAGCTTTACCAACAGTATCCCGATGTCTCCGGGGCTCAGATACGTGCCCAGGGGCAGAAAGAGCAACAGCAGCAGCCACCTCAACAGAAGCAGCACCCGTCAGAGTGTCTGCAGGCTGCCAATGGCTTCGTCTACCAACGTCAACAATTTGGCATCAATGGCCTGCAACCCGGAGGGCCACCCAAACCCACTGGAGGATCCATGCCGTTACGCTTTATGAGGGGAGCTGGTGACTTCTATTCGACGCAACAGCACATGGGATTCATGCAGCAGCAGCAACAGGAAGTGCTCCATGACCAGCAGCAGTTGGTGGCGCAACAGTTTGCCACCAGCCAGTTGGCGCCCACCACCAGGCAAAGCTATGGCATGGCAGTGCCCATGTCCTCGGTGCTCAGTGCCCCCAGCTTCCCGGAGCCGTTGGATATCAACCAAGTGAACTTCACAGGCGGCAATCTCGGCTTATTGTAAAGGACTTTGTAGATTAGTTTCGTGATTTTGGAGTTCTACGATTTGATCTGGCTATTGTTATTTTTGCGAAAAATATTTGTGGTATCGACAAGTGGTTATATAATGCGGTAATAAAGTGTGCGACCGATATTTGAATATTTGATTTATTTAGAGTGGGGATTTATTAAACTAAATTAATAAGTTTCTTTAAAGGGGGTCTTCTCATTCTTAACCCGTGTTTTGACCCTTTTTTAAAAAATTCTTATTTGAAAACGCAAAGAATAATTGAAAACTTTTTTTATTTATTGTATTACAAAAAGTTCAAAGTAAATAAACAAATTTTCGATACGAGGGCTGTTTAAAAAGTAATGACACTTCAAAGTGGGTGGTGAAAAAAAAGGTGTCGTCACTGCGGCCACGATTCCGGGTCTCCGGAGCGTCTCAAATGAAAAAAAGTGAGTTAATGGCAGAGTTAAGTTCTATTAGATTTATGTTTTTTCTATTTCTAAGGCTGTTGGGGATGGGGTATTTGTATGGTGGGGAGTAAGGAGCACTTTGTTAGTGCGGAATTCAGGGGAAAAGTTGGAGTCTTTTGCCTGTTTTGACCATAGGTCTCCGAGTGAGTTACCTACCTCAGTTGGGTCTATTGTAGTTGTTTGGCTTGATTTCGGAAATGAACTTTAAAATAGAGTCTCTAATTGACCTCCTGAATATGGCATTAGCTCTTTTATATTCAATCATGTTTTCTGTATTGATATTGTTTCTAAGGTTTCTCCATTTGAGGTTTTTAAATTTTTTTAGGTGGGCTAGGTTTTGTGTTGTTACTGGATTGTCTGAGTGAGGAGAGTTTGGTGATGTGCTCACTAAAGATGTCCCAGTTGGCATTTTTTAGTTTGAATGACGGTTTGGAAATGAATTTTGGGGGGGAAGGGTTTGGGAATATTGAGATTAAGATAGGGAAGTGGTCACTTCCGTGTAAATCATCTAGGATTTTCCAAGAGATCTCTGGGGAAATGTTGGCTGTGGCAAGAGAGAGGTCTATATGAGTTAATGTGTTGTGTGTTGTGTAGTGTGTAGGGGATTTGTCATTTAGCAGGGTATAATCTGTTCTCTCAATGAATTTAGCTATTGTGTTGCCCCTGGTATTGGCTCTAGGGGAACCCCAATAAGGATGCCAGCTGTTGAAGTCGCCCAGGACGATAGCATGTGGGGTAGATGGGGCTAAAACATTTTCTAGGTTTTTTAGGTTAAATTGGCTTGAAGGAGAGATGTATGCTGATATGAGATCTATATTTGTTTTTGTTTTTATTGAGATCCCAACGGCTTCAAATTCCGTGTTAAGAGTTTTTTGTGAGTGGGAGATAGAGTTATGTACTAGGAAGGCTGCTCCTCCGAAACTATTGGTGGTATTACTGCAGTATAGGGAAAAGTTAATGGGGATTGGTAATGAAGTTAAAATGTTAATGTGGATTTCTTGGAGTGCTATGATTTGTGGGGGGTATTGCTTAATGAGGATTTGTACTTCTGGGTAGTTGTTTCTATAACCTTTGATATTCCATTGGATAATTCTTAACATATTAAATTATAGATATATGAGTTGGATGTAGATCTCCTCTGATTCGCTTGTAGTGTTTATGAGTGTTTTGAGCTTTTTTGTGTCTTTTTTTATGGAAGAAGTTATTCGTTTTGATGTGTCTAGTGATAGTTTTGGGGTGGTTTTGGTTGGGGTTTTCTTGGTTGTTTGTGGAGAATTGCTGTCGGTTAAGGTTTTCCTGGTGCTAGGATAAAGGTCGGCATAGGATGTAGGTGCTGGTTTGGAAGTGGATTGATCATGGTTGGAGTTACCTGGACCGGGTCCTTTGAGTTGATGAAGTCCTGTTGTATTGTTAGATTTTTGAAGATTTGAGTGCTCGTGGTGCGTGAGTCCGGGTCCTTTGAGTTGTTGAGGTCCTGTTGAATTGTTGAATTTTTCAAGATTAGATTGCTCATGGTTTGAGAGTCCGGGTTCTTTGGGTAGTCGAAGTCCTGTAGAAATGTTGGGTTGTTGGCGATTTGATTTCTTGGCGATAGAAGAGTATAATTGTGAAGTTTTGATGGACAAGCGTGCATTGAGAATTGTATTGGTCGTTTTGTTGTCACATTTATGCGTTGTTTTAATGGCTTGGAGTTCTTGTTGTCTGAGGAAGACAGGACTTTTCTTGCTGGTGGAGTTGTGAGGATTCGCTAGTTGCTCAATGTTGCAGTTGATGCATTTTAGGGGTCTATTGCATTTGTCGTTGTAGGTCGGGTCGATATGATGTTCTTCTCCGCAGTTGTAGCAAATTTGTTTATTTTTACAGAATTTGTGGAGGTGGCCGAACTTAAAGCAGTTCTGGAGATGGTAAGATACTTTGGTCCGGGAAATGTTAGCAGTTGATCTGTTATTGCTCTTGGTGGGCCACGGTCAGAGGGGTCCCCCATCACTACGTCACAATGTTGAACCGTTTGTTCAGTTGATCTTTTTTTCACTTGAACTTGACATCAGTAATGAACGGTAAGGATGAAAAGGGTTAATTTTGTCCAATAATAAAATTTGGTTTGTCGGAAAGAAACTGAAAATGATTGTTTTTTCAGAGAAAGAATTTCATTACACTACTTTGAATTATTGTTTCACGTAGTTGATGATAATTTTCTTAAATATGACATGATAATTCTAAAAGATGTTTTTTATTTAACAAATTCGATATTTATAGAACTCAAACTTTTTTAGCGGTAATTGATTATGACATGTTAAATAAGGAAGACCTAATTAATAGTGATAAGTCAAAACTAAACGACATATTGGCCAAGTATTTCATATTTTTCATTGACGGTATCCCTAGTAGGCGTGTAACTACGGGTTTATTGAAAATTTGCCTGCTAGACATAAATAAAATGGTTCAGAGGCGGCCGTATCGCCTTAGTGAGAACAAGAAGCAAATAGTAAGGGAAAAGTTCCAATTCTTCCTTCAAAGTGAACGGACGTGTTTTTTTCTTGCGCTCCCGATTTGTGTAGAATTTGTCTAAAAACCTCCGGGGTTTACTAACATTTAATATTTGGTGTTTCAAATAATTCCCGTTCACTTCGCGTGTGCATTCTACTTGTTTATTTTGTGCTATTTAATTCAATTTTAATTGCATTTTAGTTTGGGCTGCTGCGGTTGCTTTGCATTTTGGTCTTTTTGCATTCCCTTTTGTGCCTTTAGCGTTTGTTGTTGTTTTCGTTGCCGCGACAGCTATAAACGGTTCTACTCAGTGCTTATCTCTCGCTCTCCTGCTCATTGCCCCCCCGCTCATCAAGTGCCGCTGCATTTAATCCCTTGCGCCCTCTCTTAAATAGTGGAAGTACAGTGGTAAGTCTTTATAATGTCCCATAATATGGTCTGCTTCGCCAAAAATTGTAAGAAAAATATTACTTACGGTGAACTCACCATCACCTGTTGGCTGTGTGACAACATAGTACATGCCAAGTGCATTGGCGTTGTTGCACGGACAGTAGATGACGTGGCCAAAAATATCGGCGTACGTTACTGCTGCGAGGCCTGCCGCGAGGTGGAGAGGGAAATGATGTCTTTTATGCGGCAAACCAGGGGTGGTTTTAAAGAGCAATTATTGAGTTTTCGCAAAACTCAAGATATGCTCTTGGCGCTGGATACTCAATTTAATAGCCTCAAGCTGTTAAATGAGTCTCCTAGGCGCAAAAAAACCGCAACTGGTGGGCAGCATATTGGCGGATCCCAGCCACCAGTGATAGGCACTGCACAGCAGCCTCCCTCGACTCTGCCCCCGACCTCGGGACAAATTCCAAGAATCATGAGATCGAGCGCTAAAAAAGATTCGGTATCCGAATGCGTCGCGGGTGCGACCGTGCCCCCGGTGTTGCCCAGTTCCGTTTTGTCCACTGGGGGGTCCCAACTGTTGTCTCAGCCCTCTTAGAGCCCTATAACCAGTCCCTGCCAGGGTATCAGGCCCGGACTACCGGCCGAAAGTGGTATGGTGGCTCAGTCTGCCGTACCAAAACCCCTTACGGCAATTCCACCAACAAAACAGTTATTTGTTTCGCGGCTTTCCCCTGATCAGACATCGGAAGATGTCATAGCTTTTATCCAAGGCAAAATAAAAGTCGATAGTGAAAAAATTAAGGTGGAAAAATTTAAATTTTCTTACCCTAGGAACATTTCGTCTTTCAAGATAAATGTTCCTGACGAAGTCTTTAGCACTCTATGATCTGCCCAAACCTGGCCACAGTATGTGGTTGTCAAACAGTTTGAAGGTACGAAAAAGAAAAAGCGGCCTGTAGGAATTGCTCTTCCTAGGCCAGATTTGCCCAATGCTCCGTCTACGTCTTCCAATTCCGTCCCAAAAAACTAACCAGTTCCCTTGGTATTTCCTATCAGAATGCAAGAGGCTTACGCAGTAAGCTTCCTAAATTGTATTCCGACAGCGTCGCATTTGCTTCCCAAGTTATTGTGTTCACAGAAACCTGGTTAAAGCCGGAGATTCTGAGCTCCGAAGTTTTTCCAGCTGCGTTCACAGTATACCGGCTAGATCGGCCTATCAGACGTGGGGGAGGTGTCCTTATAGCGGTCGACTCCACTCTCACGTCCGAATTAATAATTTTCGAGGAATCCAACAATGTTGAATTCCTTTGCGTGAAGCTATCAGTTTATGGTAGTTCCATTTTTGTAACATGTTCCTACATTCCTCCATTGTCGGAACTTCCTATTTATTGGAACCATCTTTCCGCTATTCAGTTGGTCTCCAAAAGACTTTCGGATAGGGACCATTTAGTAGTTCTTGGTGATTTTAACATCCCAGGGGCTATTTGGTCCCTTGATAATTCCACTAACACACTTCTTACCACAACACATAATGATTTTATTGCTGGCTTGTTTGACATTTCGCTGTCCCAAGTCAATCATGTTCGAAATTCCTTAGAGCGCTTGCTTGATCTTTGTTCTGTCTCAGATCCGGAAAGAGTTAGTTTAGCTAGGGTGGCGCCCCTGACGCAACCCGAAGATCCCTATCATCCCACTTTTGATATGACTATCGACATGGGGACTGTTTCACGGAATAAATCTGACAGTCCAGCCCAAGAAGTCTTCTGCTTTAACAAGACGGATTTCGTACGG